ATCTCTCTCTCAAATAAATAAAATTTAAAAAGTGTCCATTTCTGCAAAGGTTGTCAGTTTGGCACAGGTTTGGACTAGGTATGAAACCAAGGTGTTTTAAACAATTCTCTCTCCATAACGCTTAAAAAGAGAGTGCTCTACCTGTCTTGTGAAAGGGTGCACCTCATTTTGACTTATTTCCTCAAGCACGGAAGAGAATACATCTACTTTGTAATAACCTCACCATCAAATGTAAATCCTTTTGGCTTTCCAAAATACACCTAGAGGGAAAAAACATATATATCTAGAGAAGTAAATATTAGATTTTTATATAAACATCTGTGCCAGACAGTAATTTTTTTCCACATTAATTTTAACATTTTCCAATTAATTGATTTAGCAGACTTTAGGGGGCTCTCTCTAGCCACCATGCTGCTAAGGGACTTCTAAAGAAGACTCCCTTGGCTATCTCAGTTTTGGGGGCCGCTGGATGCAACGTGCTAACAGAAGTGCTTTCAGGAACAAACAAGGTTTCATAGGGCACTCAGGTGCACGCGGCCTTCAGATAAGACCCTGGAGCACCCACCTGGAAGTCAGCAGTGACAGACCCACCACAGACATCAATTAACTCAGTCATGTCGTAATAGGCATCAAAGGTCCAGACGCAGCTCTTCAGGTTCAGGTGTTTGTAGAGCTGGATGGTCTTGGGCTCCCGGACGCTGGGGTCAAACTGGAAGGGGCGGTCGTAACCAGGACCCAGGGCCGTGCTGTCGTAGACCCTGTCGTCCAGGAACCCTGCCTCTGTGCGGGAGGGAGGAACAAGCAAGAGTGACTCAGTCTGTGGACATGCCCCTGGGGAGAAGGGATGTGTCCTTGTGAACCTGAGATAGCCTACCGTCCATCTGAGACTCTATTAGGAGAGCAACCCAGGGCTCCCCAAATTGCCACAGGGTAAACAGAGTGACTGAGGCCACAGACTCCTATAAGAGGCCGCAGGAACCCCAGATGAAAAGGTGAGCAAATGATACTATAAGGAGAGTCAGAGCTCAGTGGCCGCATATGTCTTGGAAAAGAAGACATACTGAAGCTTTGCAATCAACCCTTGAAGACACAGATTTACTATATGGATAATTTGTTGATGAATTGTTATTTTTTAAGACTGATTTTTAAAAAATAGCTTTTATGTAAAGCCAACAAACATCTGACTTCCTCCTCCCCTCCTATGGTTTCTGAGCTCTTGGGAAAAAAAAAATCTTAATTTTGTGTTAATGAGTAAATAGCTCACTAATGATGCTTGACTAAACCTCCCCTGCTACGGGCAAAAATTATTGGATCAAATGCTGCCAAGCAACTGAACTGTTCTAAATTAAGGAAGACCTTAATGCAGCAGAGAGCTAAATACAGATACAATTTTAGAATATCAGGATTAAAATTCTTTATAGTACTAAAAGCAACTATAGTATTCTGAAAGAGTTGATGCATTTCTGAGAATGACACCAGCACCCGGTCCTCTGCCCCCAAAAGGACTCGGATCTCAGTTAACATGTGTTGAATTTAATTGTGTTTAAGTAGGAAGAGGTACAAACTTTCAGCCTATAACCAGAGTACGTTTCTTTCAGCGGCTGCAGATGTTGACCAGTTAAACTTTCATGTGTAGCTCGGTGACTTGCAAATAATTTACACTCAGCTACTCTCTACTGTATAAAGACCATCACTACCTAAAGTGATGCTTAATGAATATGAAAGAGCATATGAACGCTTTTCTATCTTCCCAAACACCGGTAAATGATTCATCAGTTGTCAAGGGAGGAAACAGGCATTTAATGTGCACTTGCTAAGGTAAATGGAAATGGACAGAATTCTTTGTAGAGTAAAATGTCTGCTATGGTTAACCCAGGGACGCGCCTTCTCGGCTGTCAGCAACTTCGGACCTGTCTCCACAGCACGTTGGCTCCTTGGGCTGCCCTTGCCGGGGCCTTGGCCCCCAGTGACTGCGTGAGGTGCGACAGAAAGGCCCATCATTTGGGGCCAGAAGCAGGATGAGTTGGGCAGATTGGCTCTCTCCAGAGCTCCCTGAAGAGTCAGTGGAGGCTTTTGTGGGTCAGTGCCAGATTGTAGTCTAACTTTCCCCTCTGCCCAATTCTGCTTTTTCTCCTTCCCTTTGATGGATGCTGATCCCCAATAAACATCTTGCACCCCACACTCCATCTCAGCTCCTGCTCCCAAAGAACCTGTTCTACAACACGCGACATCTGCACTTTAGCTTTTGAAAGAGGCTGCAATAAGGGGATTTTAGGGCACAGACCCAAAAGTGCTCACCGTGGGGGAGGGAAAGAACCAACAGTTACCATGGCAGGTGCTTTAAAAATGTCAACAAATTAAATCCTCACCCTGATGGGTATCAATTGTTATCCTCACGTCATAGATGAGAAAACAGTGGTTTGGGGAAGTCCAGCTATCTCTGTTCCATTGTATAGAGAGTGGAATAGGGATTTGAAGCTGAGTCAGTTTGACTCCAAAGTCCTTGTTTTTCCCTATTCACTTCACTGTCTAAGCTACCTATGTCTGTTGCCTGCTAGGAAGGATCTCCGCTCATCACGCAGATTTGAGGACGGGAGACATTAAGCAGAGTTCACTTCACTGTGTCCCTCAGGGCCATGGCGCTGGGCTGGAACGGGAAAGCCAGCACGGAAGTTGTCCCTCACCTGAGATGCCTCTCAGGTCTTGGGTGGTGATGAGATTGGAGCAGACGTGCTGGTGCCTGTAGATGGATTCGGACAGCAGAAAATGCAGGTTGTGCAGCGGCATGGTGGAGATGAGGGGTAGCATTCCGTCCTGGTGTGGGATCTGCACGGAAATGTGGATTCTGAGGCAAAAATGGGCAGAGAGAGTGTTTAGGTGCACGCTAGAAACAGCTAACATGGTACATTTCTTCCTCGTGACTTACTCTGCCTTCCCCAGGGAATCTACCATTTTTTGTCCTGAAGCTTCCCAAAGAGTATGATGTATGCGTGGGGTTGTCCCCCACCCCTCCTGCCAAGAGATCCTCCAGCTCAGAACTGACAGCCATCAAGAATCACAATTTTTTTCCTTCTGTACAAGAAAAGATAACATCACAACCACAAATTAAAGCTTTCTTTTGCTTTAAATGGAAGCTTTGCTTCCTTGTGAGCAACAGCGGAGTGACTGATAGAGGTGCCGTCCCCTTCTCTGTCACAGGGAGTGTCTGGGAAGGTTGGGTAGGGCCGACACTCACATTTTTTAAAGTATTTGTGCCAAATGACATCAGTGAGCTCTTTAAACTCTAAGGTCAGTATTCCTACCCAGGACAATATCTTAGAAATAGTCCTATCCCCCTACTCCTACTGTCTTCTCCTAACTGAAAGAGCTTTCTCCCACCTCTCCCCCCTCAAGTTCCGAGCAATGCGGGCAGCCCTCCCCGGCCCCCACTTGCAGTGTGCTCTCCCCTCATCTACATTTCTCAGAGCTTAGGTGCCTTTGCACCAGGACATCTGTAACTTATTCCTATTGGCTGCTATTTCTTACATGCGTTTAGACTCTGTTTATCTTGCCTCTCCACAATGAGGACAAGGATCATTGCCTTCACTTCTTTTGTTTCTCCAGAGCATGTGGTATAAAATTCTAAATAAAACATGAGCTTAATAAATATTGGTTAAGACGGCGATACAAAAGAACTGTACTTACGGGCTGCACTATTTTCACTGTATAAATTCAAATTTTCAGCATGTTGATTGAGGGTGCCTTTGAGTTTTTACAGCTTGTCTCTTGGAACAAAAGCCCAAGAGACATTTTTTATTTATTTATTTATTTATTTTATCTTTCTTTTTTATTATGTTATGTTAATCACCATACATCATTAGTTTTGATGTAGTGTTCCATGATTCATTGTTTGCGTATAACAC